GCCTAGCAACTCCCTAGTAACTTTGGTCTTCTTATTTCCTCAGAAACACCGTAAGAACTCTCTAGTAACTCCCTAGCAACTGCCTAGTAACACCCTATTAACCACCCAGAACACCCTAGTAGCCAGTCAGAACACCTTAACAACTGCCTAGCAACTCCCTAGTAACTTTGGTCTTCTTATTTCCTCAGAAACACCCTAAGAACTCTCTAGTAACTCCCTAGCAACTGCCTAGTAACACCCTATTAACCACCCAGAAGACCCTAGTAACCATACACAACACATTAACAACTGCCTAGCAACATCCTTGCAACTCTGGTCTTCTCATTTCACCAGAACACCCTAACAACCACCTAGTAACACCCTAGTAACTACCCAGAACACCCTAACAACCACCTAGTAACACCCTAGTAACTACCCAGAACACCCTAACAACCACCTAGTAACACCCTAGTAACTACCCAGAACACCCTAACAACCACCTAGTAACACCCTAGTAACTACCCAGAACACCCTAACAACCACCTAGTAACACCCTAGTAACTACCCAGAACACCCTAACAACCACCTAGTAACACCCTAGTAACTACCCAGAACACCCTAACAACCACCTAGTAACACCCTAGTAACTACCCAGAACACCCTAACAACCACCTAGTAACACCCTAGTAACTACCCAGAACACCCTAACAACCACCTAGTAACACCCTAGTAACTACCCAGAACACCCTAACAACCACCTAGTAACACCCTAGTAACTACCCAGAACACCCTAACAACCACCTAGTAACACCCTAGTAACTACCCAGAACACCCTAACAACCACCTAGTAACACAGTAGTAACCACCCAGAACAACATAACAACCACTTAGCAACACCCTAGCAACAATAGTCTTTTCATTTCCCCAGAACAACCTAACAACTGTCTAGTAACACCCTAACAGCCACCTAGCAACACCCTAGCAACTTTGGTCTTCTTATTTTCCCAGAAACAATGTAGCAACTGCCTAGTAACACCCTATTAACCACCCAGAACACCCTATTAACCACCCAGAACAACTTAACAACTGCCTAGCAACTCCCTAGTAACTTTGGTCTTCGTATTTCCTCAGAAACACCGTAAGAACTCTCTAGTAACTCCCTAGCAACTGCCTAGTAACACCCTATTAACCACCCAGAACACGCTAGTAGCCAGTCAGAACACCTTAACAACTGCCTAGCAGCTCCCTAGTAACTTTGGTCTTCGTATTTCCTCAGAAACACCGTAAGAACTCTCTAGTAACTCCCTAGCAACTGCCTAGTAACACCCTATTAACCACCCAGAACACCCTAGTAGCCAGTCAGAACACCTTAACAACTGCCTAGCAACACCCTAGTAACTTTGGTCTTCTTATTTCCTCAGAAACACCCTAAGAACTCTCTAGTAACTCCCTAGCAACTGCCTAGTAACACCCTATTAACCACCCAGAACACCCTAGTAACCATATAGAACACCTTAACAACTGCCTAGCAACATCCTTGCAACTCTGGTCTTCTCATTTCACCAGAACACCCTAACAACCACCTAGTAACACCCTAGTAACTACCCAGAATACCCTAACAACCACCTAGAACACCTTAACAACTGCCTAGCAACACCCTATTAACTTTGGTCTTCTTATTTCCCCAGAAACACCATAAGAGCTCTCTAGTAACACCCTAGCAACTGCCTAGTAACACCCTATTAACCACCCAGAAGACCCTAGTAACCATACAGAACACATTAACAACTGCCTAGCAACATCCTTGCAACTCTGGTCTTCTCATTTCACCAGAACACCCTAACAACCACCTAGTAACACCCTAGTAACTACCCAGAACACCCTAACAACCACCTAGTAACACTCTAGTAATTAATTAGAACACTGTAACTCACTCGGTAAACAACACTTTGGCAAAAAACAAGGACACAATAGCATATGTTTGGCAATGCCTTTGCTGTCACACAGAACGCCTTAGCAACCAAAGTGATCTGTCTGTCTGGGAGACTTCAAAGCTTCAAACTACAAGCTTTTCAAACTACTTTAAACTTCCAGCTTTACATAAACAAACATAACGTTTGTCTTAAGGGTCACAAAGTGTGTTTGTGAGAAAGTTGAGGCTTTTCAGAAAAATCTCCATTATTCTCCAGCTTATTCTTCACTTTCCCACCAAAGTTTGCACTGAAACCCTAAAATGTGACATTCTCTGTCCGCTTGGTTCACACGCACTAAAGCTGCCGTCAAACCATTCCAGGAATATTTCTGAGTGTGTTTGTTGTGGAAGCTGAACGCTATTCTTCCAGAATCCATCTCCTCATTCACACGAGTCGCTGCTGTAGAGCAGAGAAAACTAAAGGACGTGTGGAGTTTGAGAAAATCAGGCAGTGCTGAGATGATACTGATGTGATAGTAACTCAATCTACACCCATGAACAAAAATATGGGCCCCACTTTATATTAAGTCATCAAAAATTTACATCATTTACATCAAAAATTAAGTACAATGTACTTATTGTGTTCATATTGTATTGCAAAACATTTTGCTGCTATTGAGGTGGGATAAGGTAAGGTTAGGGACAGGTTTGTTGGTATGGGTAGGTTTAAGGGTGGGTAAAGGTGTAAGGGATGGGTCAACTGTGTAATTATAAATGTAATTACAGAAATTAATTACAGATGTAATTACATGCAGGTATTTTTAAAATATAAGTACAATGTAAAAACACGTACAGTATGTACACATATTGTATTGCAAAACACTTTTGCTGCTATTAAGGTGGGATATGGGTAAGGTTAGGGACAGGTTTGTTGGTATGGATAGGTTTAAGGGTGGGTAAAGGTGTAAGGGATGGGTCAACTGTGTAATTATAAATGTAATTACAGAAATGAATTACAGATGTAATTACATG